GTTCTTGAATGTTCTTATTTTATTTTTGAGTCTTCATAACTTTCTTCGTAAAATCACTATAATTTGGTTATTCATAACTAGATTATTAGTGTTATTGAGAGATCTGGGATCAACATAAAACTTCTTCTTTAGACTTCAGTTTTTCATTTGACTAAATTCTTTGAAGTTCAAACTTACTTATTTTAACCATTAGTTCTTCATTTACCAATTCTAATGAGATAATCCGGCTTTTAAGATATTGGACTTTCCATCAAATAATTTGGATTCAGATAACCAAGATTTAGCCCAGTCCATGTTTCCAGCATTTTCATCAAATAATTTTATGTATTTTTCTTTTTGCGTTTTTAATTCTTTTTCAAAATTATTTGAACGCATTTTTTCTGTTTTTAATTCTTGCTGGAAAGATTGGAGTTTAAGCATCATCTTATGCATGATTGCTCCAATACCTCTTCTTCCATTTTCGCAGTCTGTTCTTCTTCTTCATCTGAAGAATAGTTATCAGATTTAGCCATCAAGCAGACGTGTGCAACAGCTTCAGCTTCTTCCTCTTCATCAGTTAGGTTTAGCCAGTGATCATCTTCTGCCATGAGTGCTTTCCCCGCATCTCGTTGTTTAGAGAGAAGAAATTTATTTTTGGTGTAGTCGGTATTTCGATTTACCAGCTTTCTACAATGTACAGCAAAGTGGCCTAGCTTGCCACAGTTATAGCATTTTGTGTGCTCGTCAGCTATGCCTTTGACAGACTTCTTCTTCTCTTCCAGCTTCTTCTCGTACTTCTTCTCGACGAATTTGTCTTTAAATTCATATTTTGAGCCCGACGAGAATCTTTGGTTGTTCGAGTGTGGCCGTTTCTGGAATTTATTTTGAAATGCTTTAGTCAGCATCGCCATGGGATGTTTTATTTCAGACATTGCAGAGTCTGAATCTGAGCTGTTACTTTCTTCATGTTCAGATTCGCTTAATTGGCTTACTTCCTTCACTTGTTTCCCAGATCTGCTCTTTGCTTTCTTCTCAGACACGAAAGCTAAAGGATCAGCAACTTTCTTTTCTTTCTCCTTTTTGGAATTTCGAATCTCCAAAACTTCTTCCTCGTTTTGCTTTAATGTTTCATAAATTTCATGTACGTCAATATCAGATAATGATTTGTTGAATCTGATATGATTAGCATATGGTTTCCACTCTGGTTGAAGATTGTTGAGGAATTTAACATTTATCTCTATAACAGTTTTAGAGATTTCGTTCTTGGTCAGCTCATTTAGCAGTCTGGTAAGCCTATCATAGACATCATCAAGGCTCTCACCATCTTTAGCCTTGAACTCTTTATATGCAGATACGTAATTAGTAATCTTTAATTGAGTTCCCACTCTAAAACCCATTATCATATTTTCAATCTGAACCCACATGCTGTGACTAGATGATTTATGACTGTCAATACTGGTGTAGATGTCATTAGTCAGTGCTTGTATCATGTAGGACTTGCAAAGCACATCAGCATGGGCTCTCTCTTTTTCTTGAGCAGTATATCTATCTTTTTCTTTGATTATTCTCTGAGCAGGTCTGCCTTGTTCAGGAATGGCAGGTATCTCTCGGTAGAACACAGCAGGACCTTCCATCAAGGACTCCATAATCAGATCACCTTCTTTCATTCTCTCTATGAAATTAAGGAATCCATCTCTCCATTGATTATAATCTCCTCTAAACAGCACTGGTGGCGTGGTGTCAGTACCAATAGCCATTGCTTCCCTTGAACTCATTTTATCAGTTATGTATGACGTAGGATCAACTGCAGTTCAAGATTTGTATTAAAGGATCAGAATTCAAAAATATATCAAATAAACCTCAAACAAGAATATGCACACATTCAAGACTTAGAAAAATTTAAGCACACAAGCTTATCCGGATTAGAAATCCGGTCAAGCTTATCTGGATTAGAAGTCCGGATAACAAGATAGACTTGAATTTCTAACATACAAGTTATCCGGATTAGATATCCGGACAACAAAGGACTTTAAATCGCACAAAGATATCACGAACAAAGCAAAACTCAATACAGACAAGGCGCAAAATTCAATTTGGATGAAAAATCTCAAATCGGACGTTTTCAACACTTAGCCAAATTTTCAAAATGAAATACGGACGTAAAAAGTCAACAAGTCAACAAGTCAAGGTCAACTAAGTTAACTAGTCAAAGTACGATTAAGTCCGCGTAATGTCAAATTGCTCAAATAGTCAACAAGATTTAAATCAATTTTCGTTCAAGAAGTCAAAGTCAAAGAACGATCAATAAACTTGTAAATCAAAATTCGATCACTTAAATCGCATACAATCAAGTCAATTAAATCGCACACTAAATCGCTCAACACTACACTTAAATCGCTCACAAACTCGCTCAGGTTACAACTGGACTTCAAATAAATCGCACAATTCACAAGATAAATCGCACAAAACACAAACGACTTACCAAGCAGATTACCTAAATCGCTCACTAAATCGCACAAGAGTCCAACGATTTACCTTTAAACCGATCAAGACTTACCCGGTTTAATCTAATCCGATCAAAATTAATTCACAAATATTACAAGTCTAAATCGAACAAGCTTTAAGCGATATTCACTTAAATCGATTAAGAGTTAACTGGACTAATATTCAAGCAAAAACACAAATTTAAGAATTTTTCATCAAAAAATCGGATCAAAACATGAAAACATATGAATTTTTGAAGAACACCAACAGATTTCAAAAACTCAAAAATCGATCAAAACAGATTCAAAATTTGTTTAAACTCAAAAACGATGTGAATCAAAATTGTTCTATATCAAATTGCGAATTCGGCGATGTAGAATTTATCAATTAACAGTCAAAAATCAAGCGATTTTAGCCAATTTTCGATTCTGGAACCAAGAACTCTATGAACAGACGAAGAACAGCAAGAACTCAGATCGATCAATCCTCTAAAAATCGAGCAAAATTCTTGAAAAAAATGTTTAATCCTCTAATCAAATTGTTGCAGCTTGCTCTGATACCAATTGAAATGCCCAAATTCATACAATTCTGATCATGATCTTCAAGAATTAGAAATAAGATGAAGTTTAGAGAGAAAATATCACCAAATCTCTTGTAGATTTCTTGAGAGAAAATTACAATGCTAATCTGAGAATTATAGAATTGATAATGACTAATTATAAAGCTAAACACTATTTATACTAAGGAAAGCATTAAACTAACTATTACAAAGCATATAAAATGGAGAACTTGAATACAATCAATAACGCACATACTTGAATCCAACAGGAAATTATCACATTTTCCCTTTTCCCTTACCTTCAGCACTTCCTGCAATACATATTTAAAATCACAAAACAAGGGTTAGACCGAAAGGTCTAATGAGTTACCCTATTTATGTTACTGCAGGCTGAAAATCACCAAAATTTTTATGTAAAACAAGTTTTCATATATATTACAAATATATGAAGTAATAACATGATATCAATACCTTATGCTTGCACACCAATACCTTCTTCTTGCATGTAATACATCAAATCCCAAGAGGTGTATGCTAATCAAATTATTATAATGCCACTTTTTAAACCTTTTAAATAATAGAAGGTTTATTCAAAATTCCAGGCCAAACATGTTCTCTCCTTCTCTATAACATTTAAACTATGATTTCCAATAAGAATTCTGATCCTAAATCTTTAAGTCACAAAGAAAGAAAGATTCCAGACCATGGTAATCTTAAGGGAAATGATAGTAGAAGTTATATTATTTAACACACACACATACCAATGCCACCCTTATTCCAAATGTATACCTCTCCTTTATATGCCACCCTTATCCCATGGTACACCTCTCATTGATATGCCACCCTTATCCCATAGTACACATGTTGGTCCCGAAAGGGTCTACAAGAATAGAAACAGTTTGTAGAAGGGGGGGATGAATACAAACACAATATTTTCAAATTTAAAATATATATTGATAGAGAAGATCAATACATATTTTACAAGACTGTTTGCTGAAAGATAAGGTAAAGAAAACCTATCTAAACAATCTTTGGTTACATACAGATCTTTAGCAATTACAAGAAAAGAGATTGTTAAAAAGAAGATCTTTTACTTAAGCTAGAAGATGCTTGAAGTAAGAAGAGAATTGTAGAGAGATGTGTGCACTCTACAAAGAGAAGAAACACTTTTATTTATACCCAGTGCATTAAATGAACATTTAATGCAATATGGTAGGTTTAGAGTGCGTG